AAAGTCTGTATGGAGACGCATTTAAGGTCGATATGACGACCCACGCCTGAGCGAGTGGCAACAATTCCCTAAGAATCCAAGACTGTGGTAAAGCCCGCACTGGAGCAATCCGATGGGGAAGGATTGCATCCTGCGGGCAGGACTCACGCTGGAGAAGTTTGTGGATTTTCCTTGTGAGTATGGGATCTACTGGGGCAAGGGACAATGGTGTATGGACTCCTTCTCCTTTAAGAGAAGTGGCAGTAACAACATGGATGAACTGACCTGCATTCCCCCAGTCCCTGCCCCCCTGCACTGCTGGGGGGAGGAGGTAGAGCCGGGAATAAAAGGCAAAGGGGGGAGTGGTGTTGTTTTTAAGACCTGGCCTTGTTTTCTTGTTATCCTCTCAAGTAACCGTTTTTGTGTGCTTTTGTCTTTTTAGGCAGCTGTTAATAAACTGTTTTGCTATAAGGAAACTGAGTCTCTTTTGCCCGGGACCGTGGTTGGTGGGTGCTCCTCTGTTCTTGTCTCAACCCTCAGCTCTTTTATTATTTTTCTCCTCTCCACTTTACTGGAGTGGGAGACCGGCTGCGTGGAGTTTAGCTGCCAGATAGGCCTAAACCCACGACAGACTGCAGAAAATTCAATTTCATTAATGAACACACTTCTCATAAGAATCATCCCAGAAGCAAGAAACAATTCCGTTTCCTTAGCCTCTTCAATCGAGATCACTGTTTCCTTTCCTGTATCCCAAAATCCTCTCTTTCTGTCATACAGTCTACCGACTTTACAACATTTAGTGGGATCAAAACAGTAGTCTTTGAACTCATTGGTTCCTCCTAACTCTTTCCTTATTCAACTCAGAGCAACAGCCAGTACAACACACAAGGCCAGATCTGGCACAAAACCAGTAGGTTATCAAGTAGATAAAGACTATATTGTAATTCTGTAATTTGGCATGAACAGTCCAAAGAAATGTTTCACAGTTCATTTAGTTCTGGTATTTCACTATTATCCAGTAGTCAACCTTGCAATATTTTTAACACTTCTAGTTTTATGTCTAAGTATAACCTCCTAAGTTTGGGGAGTTTTTTTCTTTTTTACAAAAACTGGAAAAAAGTCAAAATTCCATTATGTAGCATCCCACTGATGGGTCATCTTCAAAGTGCTAAAGATCTAATAAGTGCTCCCACACAACACGAACACGATTTTGTTTTTCACCTTTATCAGCACACAATGAGAAAAGGACACCTTTCCAGAGAACTCAGCAAATATTCACCAGCTGATAAATGCCAAGACTCTTGACTTCAGGTCTTCCGTTGCTCAAGCAGGAAAAGTGAAGTAACTATGACATGAAAGGTGACCATACTCTTTTGGGCACAGATTCTTTTTTCCATATCACTGTGCTCCTGCTCTAGTCTTGCTGCAGTCAACTTCCACCTGTTTGTTCCAGTTTCACCATGCCACTCCAATTCTAGACAGCTTCACCCATAAGCCCCTTATTGCATGCTGCGAGATTTAACAGAACTCTTGCCACGAACCTGAGTTTCTTTGGTGCCCCAGGAAAATATTCCTGAAGAAAAGCTTCACTTGAAATTTTATATAAATGGAAATAAGGTCTTGTAGCACAGAGTGTCTGGAAAACACTCATGTAATGCAGCCAACATTGTTATAATCCCAGACACTAATCAGAAAAGATTTAGCACCCAAAGCTATACTGCATATCCATTGGTGAGTAGGGATCTCAAACATTTCACAGAATTCAAAAGATGAAATAAACATTTAGACTCACATGCACCACTATGTATCTAACTAAATATTCACCTCAAAGTAATCTGGACTGATAAATATTCCATTCATGTGCCAGAATCTTTTTTAAATGCTTTGCCACATCTCAGTGCTCTGAAACAGTAAATAAAATGAAGGAAAAGACCACTAAATTTAGTTTTAACTAATAATATAAAAGAAAAGATCTCAGTGGAATTTCCCACTGGTTCCAGTGGGCTTAATTTGCACACATCAACATGCAAACACCATCAGAAGAGTATGGAGCATAACACAGAGGTATCGGTCAAGGAGTGGTACTAGTAACATTATTACTATGTTTTTCCTTTGCTTTAGTTCCCCAAGCACCCCCCCCATTCCCTCTATTCACCTGCCTCATCCTTCCACTACCTCAGATAGTTGGATTTAAAGCAGTAACAATTTGTGTTCTTTGGTGCCCTCTACGGGACAGATTTCTGCAGCATAAAGTTGCCAGGAAGAAACCACAACCTTCTGCCTCCCAGAGGAAAGAGCAGAGAAATTCGAATCAAATACACTTGCAAGTGGGACTTCTGAATTGCTGACGACTTTAATTCATTCATAGGGAACATGTCATGGGTCTCTGAAGCCACTGCTTTTGCAGAGGTTGCCTTCCTGTAAGATCTTTCAACCTTTCTTCAAGAAACCAGCAACAGGATTCCTGAAAAGTTGTTTTTTTTCAAAATCTATGAAAGTCAAGGTCACTGAGTGTTCAGTCTTGCCTTTTGCTTAGGTCAAAGCACACAAATAACAACTGGTTGATCAGATACGTATTTGACAGGGAAGGTTTCCATTTGAACACACATTACAAAGGATGCAATAAACACCCCCGCTTCAGACGGCCAGCAAATGGACATCAAATGTAAAACAGCATTTTTAGGTATTAAGGTAGATTATGATAGTGGGGCTGTAGTTTTTAAGTCTGGGGTGTCTTTTTCTCTCCTAAGACATAAACTACAGAGTATCCAGCTTCCAAATACACAAATTTGCCTCATCTCAACAGGATCTTCATCCTTAGAACTTGGAACACTTTTTAAACACAATATAAATACTCATTTACAAAGGGAGGAAAAAACTACACTATCTTCTATATACTAACTGCCCAAAGGCATATTCTTCTTCCTAATTAAAGTAAATTAAGCAATGCCAAGACATCTTTATTCTATCTTTTGGGTAGAAAAAGAGTGCGTATGGATGATTAATGCTCAGTAACCTGCCATACCTTATTCCTCACCCACTTCACTCATGACAGAACAACTCATGTTTAGACACAGGCTCAGCTCATTCTCATTAGCTTTATGTCAAGTGACAAACCATAAAATTATAAGCAGAAAATACAGCAGAGTACATTGGTAGAGTCCTGGCATCTTAACACGCCCATGGAGGAGACAGCATCCCAAGCTCAAAGTGCCCGTAGCTCATGTTTGAGCAGCCAACCTGTGCTGGCTGGTCCAGCACATACCACCTGCTCAGACACACAAACTGCTCACTCTAACTGTTGACTGTGCAAAGAGGAAGGACCAACAGACATCATGGACCTCGCCAACAGAAAAATCTCCACTGATGAGAGAAAGAAAAGCTTAGAAGGACTGGAGAATGAAAGACAAAAAATATGAAGGAAAGCAAGAGCAGCTGTCACGAAAGTGATAAGCATGGTTTTGTTTGGTTTTGCCAGTGACAAATGGTTGTGGGGGAGAAAAGAGATAGTTGGGTTTTATTGAAGGGTTAGGGGATTGCTTGTGAGGTGTATAGGCATTTGTGGTTGTGGGAATTCACTTGCAATTTTTAATTGACTTTTTCACAAACATGGCATGCAAAATATTTGATTTTTAGACATGCTTAAATGTGTTAACTCACACAAATTAATCACAGTATTTTTCTAATGATTAGTATTTGATCCACTTAAAAAAAACCATACTGAAAAGTATTTGTTTACAAATGTTTAATACTACACAGTATATGTGTAATAGCTTTTTTCAGTAAAACACATGAAATGCTACAGAAGCAGTGCTGTTTAATATTTTCATTAATAACACAGATGATTTAGTAATCAGCTTTTAAACATTTATTCCAGATGGAAAGTGAAAGAATATTGAAGAATAGTATTCAAATTCTGTCAAAAATCAATCTAGTAAGAAACAAGAAAGGATTCTGTAGGTAAGTGGAAACCATCTCTACAAAAAAATTGCCTAGAATGCAGCTCTGCAGTAAAGGATGTAGAGATAACAGTGGATCACAAGTCAATCATGAGTAAACAAGCACATGCTCCTGCAAAATGACCATTATACTGAAGTGCCAAGTCTGGAAAATTATTTATAAAACCTATGGAATAACCTTTCAGCATTATTGGTCACGAGCAAAACTTCAACTAGAGTAGCAAAACTAACTGCAGGGATAAAACTTGGAAAAAAAAGAAAGATGTGACAAACTGCCGAGCGTTCACAGAAAAGCAAGAAGAATTATTAGATCCTATCATGTCTCCTTTCTATTAGGTAGAGAGACAAAACAATATTCAAGGTATCCACAAATAGAAACAAATAAATTACTCATAGCTAGAACATGAAATAAAGCACTTGCAATGCTGATAAGAAATTTTAAGCTTCTACAGAGAAGCAGCTGCCTACCAGATCAGTAAGAATGGGAACCGACTACTTAGGAGGCTGTGGGAATTCAACACCAAGCATTTTTGAGAACATAATCAGGACTGGTTCAGGTACAATGGATTCTGTGGCAGGATGGGCAGATGAATAACTGTGAGACATTTCTAGAAAAGACAATAGATGAAACAAGAACCAAAGAAAGGTTCCGGTGACATGAAGAGGGAAAAACACACCCAAGAGGGTGAGGGGGGGCATAAAAAGGAAGTCAGCAGAAGGCCTGGCAAAAAAAAACAAACAAACAAAAATTCAGGGACAAGACTCCTAGACCAGTTTCAGTCTTATTTGCTGTCACCTCCACAACTCATTTTTAAATTCAGCAAACAAATCAGAGGGCAATGAAGCCACAAACATCTTGCACAAGATCTGAATTTAGTTCATCTTGCACATTGCTCCTTTTTTCCAAAAGATCTTCTGTGGAAGCCATGGCAGAACCCTTTCTGTGCATCTCTCATCTTCACATTTTACAGGTAGTTCTCTTGGACTTCATAAGGATAGGAAATAAAAGTGAGGAAAAATGAATCTAAACCGTAACTGTTTCCATACAGTAACTTTACTCACTTGTTTCACATTTTCTGCCAAGAACACAACATAAACGCTACAAAATCCCAGCTGTGTTATCACTAGGAAAAAGTCGACAATATACCTGAGGAAGAAAAAACAAACATACATCATACTTAGGATCCAAACAATTAACCAGTTTCTCCCTAATACACAGTTACTGCCCCTTTTTATGGTAGTCTAAACACTAGACTCAAATGCCACATGAATCTCACCAGCACTGCAATGCAGGTTCCTCTTCCAGCAAAACAAGGTGGTTTTGTATTTGGTTTTGTATGGTTTTGGTTGGTTTTTTTAAGGTAACATTGAGTAGGTACCAAAGTGTCTCTCTCTCAAAAAAAAAAAAAAA